CTCTGAGCTTTCAAGGACTTATGCGTTCATTGATGATAAAACAGTTAACCACTCTGAAATTGAAACATCGAGCCTTCTCAAAATCCCACCAATTTTGATGGAAAGTCGTACCCTCAAATTCGAAATAACTGCTGCAGGCCGAACCAGAAATATCAGAGTGAACACTCCTCGACGGCTTAAGCCTAACAGGAGAACAAAGAAAGATGAATGCAAGAGTCATGTCGGCGTTTTGTTGTTGACTGCAGTTACCAAGAGATATGATTTTCCACAAACACTTGCAAGCTTACGAACTGGAAGACACGATGAATGAAGAAAAGATATACACTACAACTAATATTTGAAAACTCCCTCAACATTGCATGAGCCTTAACGCGAGTACAATTTAAATGAATTTTCAAATATCACGATTGTTGTAAATAGTTAATTGTTTGAGATTTCATGCGATTGTACTGATTTATTATACGAATGAGAAAATTACGAACGCGCGCGCATAAATTTGCAGAGTAGTGCCAATCAATTAACGATAAATTGGCCTGTTTTCAACCAATCACGATGAAGTTACTTTCTCATTCATATAATAAATTGCCCTCATCGGTAACATAAATTTTAGAAGTGGACGTGTGGAGAACGGTCAAACTGAGTCTGATTATGTGGACTTGAAACATATGATGGCTTGTATATTAGTCGATGTAAAGAGTCATAAACCTCTGGAAAAGCTTCAGTTTCCCGAAAAGATGGCTTTAATGTGTCGGCGATTATTCCGAGATCGACGCACTATAAGTACTGTACTTGTCATTGTACTTTGCGCTATTGTAATGCTCGTTAACTTGCTCAGTGTGCATCAGCGAGATATCGACAAAGTTTCTCCCTTCAAGGCTGCGGATGTTTCTTACCCACGAGCTAAGTTTACTGTAAACATAGCTACCAGCTCAGTAATTGCTACTGTGGACGAAAAGTTTATATCTGTTGGTATACCTTGGAGGACTCTAGTTGAATGGAACTTCACTGCTGCGGAAGAAAAACAAATAACTGCCTTGACAAAGGCTCTCTCGCCCGCTTATGCTCGGATTGGAGGTACTGCTGGTGACTTTGTTCTTTTTGATGACCTGGAGAAAACACCTGAACATTTCGTAAAACAAGCCACTTTTAATATTAATGGTAAAGATCTGGACAGGATTAATCAGATAGCAGAAAAAGCTGGCTGGCAAGTGCTATTCACATTAAGCTTGTTAAGAAGATCAAAAAATGGCTCGTGGGATTCAAGCAACCCTTTGAAAATAGTGAAATATGCAGCTGACAATGGATATAAATTTGGATGGGAACTTGGCAATGGTAAGTGAGATAAAACTATGGCATTATTTCGACAGCTTTCATACGATATTATAAACTCACTACTTGCAGTTATTTCTGAAGCTCTCATCTTAGAGGTGTTTTTAAGAACACCGTCATTACCGGTAATTGGCAAAGAACAAGACTTGAACTGAAATCATCAATGTGTCTAAAACAGCGTTTAAAGGTCTTAGTTTTTAGTTGGTTGCAAAATGAGTCGAAAAAGTGAGAGGTTCGAAATAACCAAGTCAACAAGAGGTTCCAGTGCAAGTAAGATGTGATGAAAAATCGCTTGATTTTAGGTCAAGGTAAACCAAAATCATTTCGAAATACTGACGCGGTTGGAATGACCGACTTCGAATCAGAGGTATCCAACTGTGTTGTTCTTGAGAAGGTTTTCTTTTTAGCATACGTGTATTCTCAATCCAGTTGTCACAAGTTGCTAGGCAGATTTGTGTCTCAGTTGGGTGCTTCGGTTTTGTATAGGTAATCACATGATTTCGAGTGCAATTGGGAATAAGCAAGAGTAAAGTTTTCAAAGGCTAACAAAATTGCATTTGCATTTCAATGTAACCCAACGTGGAGGCAAGAACTTCATGGTAGGATGCATAAAGTCGCCTTCCCCCTCGCTTCATAAATGCTAACCGCAAGCAAACAACAGTAAATAAAAGAAAACTTCAGAGCGACTATATGGGTGGCCTACCTTTAATTGAATGGAACGTGCGATCAGGCGTTCTTTTTTACCGGTAATTGGCAAAGAACAAGACTTGAACTGAAATCATCAATGTGTCTAAAACAGCGTTTAAAGGTCTTAGTTTTTAGTTGGTTGCAAAATGAGTCGAAAAAGTGAGAGGTTCGAAATAACCAAGTCAACAAGAGGTTCCAGTGCAAGTAAGATGTGATGAAAAATCGCTTGATTTTAGGTCAAGGTAAACCAAAATCATTTCGAAATACTGGCGCGATTGGAATGACCGACTTCGAATTAGAGGGATCCAACTGTGTTGTTCTTGAGAAGGTTTTCTTTTTAGCATACGTGTATTCTCAATCCAGTTGACACAAGTTGCTAGGCAGATTTGTGTCTCAGTTGGGTGCTTCGGTTTTGTATAGGTAATCGCATGATTTCGAGTGCAATTGGGAATAAACAAGAGTAAAGTTTTCAAAGGCTAACAAAATTGCATTTGCATTTCAATGTAACCCAACGGGGAGGCAAGAACTTCATGGTAGGACGCATAAAGTCGCCTTCCCCCTCGCTTCATAAATGCTAACCGCAAGCAAACAACAGTAAATAAAAGGAAACTTCAGAGCGACTATATGGGTGGCCTACCTTTAATTGAATGGCACATGCGATCAGGCGTTCTTTTTTAACAGCAGGGGCTCGCAGGTTAAACGTGGATGCAAGACAAAACAAGAAGCAATTTCAGACAGAAACTCACAGTTAGACTCCTCTAATTCGATCTCGGTTACTTCGTATTCACCGATATTTCTAGACTTTCTAAAAGTCCTTTCCACTTAGGTCGCTAGCGTGGGCCACAGGAACCTTGCCGAATATTTTCCGAAAATTTCCAAAGATGACCGAAGATAACCGAAGAATTTCGAGGAAGACACGAAGATTTTTCCATCATACACCAACAAATTTAAGCACAGTTGAGGGATCAAACATGACATCAAACATTACGCCATCGATATCATTACAGTGAAATTATCGTAATTTCACACGCGTAAAATTACGGCTTTCCCCAGGGCTGGAAATCCTTGGCAAACACCGCAGTTTACATAATAAGTGTCGTAGTCTGTCAGCAGCAAGCACATCAATTAATTAATCACGAGATTTTGCGAACTAAAAAGGTCAAGTCTGCGCACAAGCCAAGTGGTCCATCAGGCTGGGGCTCATCTGGGGTTTCTGTAGCATGAATGTAAAACAATAAAAATGCAAGCAAGATATAAATTCCCAACCATATTTATTCGTTGTAATAATGGGCAAAAAGTTAATGGTAATGTTTTGAGAAATATGTGTTGGGTCATTCGAAATATAATATTGGAATAGTTTAGGTGTTTAAAAAATGTTGCCTTTCTTATCGTTGTTGATGTGTACGCAGGTGCTACGTTTCCTAGGAACTAGTTCTTCAGTGAAATATGTGTAAAT